ATATATATATATATATATATATATATATATATATATGGAGTAATAATTAACACATACGAATATAATATATGGTCGGTTTGGTCATGAGAGAACAACGACCTTCTTTTATTATAAGTTTATTGACTGGACGCTTATGGGTACACATGCATCACATATAAATGTTATATATATATATATATATATATATATGTATGTATATATAAATGCATCTTATTTTATGGCAAATACATCAAATTTATATGTTAATGCAAACTGAAAATTGTTGCTATCGCTCGATACTGACTTATTGCTAAAAAAAAAATTGTTCCATATTTAAGATTGATTTTTTTTACTTATCTGTAGAGTTTATTTTCAAATTTATTTTTACTTCTTTTATTCTTATTTTTAAGCGGCGATCAGAACTTAACAGTTACTCGAGCTCTTGTAATGATACTTTTTTTCAACCATGACGCTTTTTAGAAGCCAATCTAATGGTTGGTTTATCTACTGAAGAGATATTAATTACTGGTTCTCTTCTTGATATGTAAAAACAAACACTTTTTAAGATTTATAGATTTTATTTTAAATTATAACTTAAAGGATTAAGTGTTGATATTTTAGTCTGTACTTGTTGGCGATTCAATCATGACTCCCGCTCCATAATAATCAGTTTACCTGATTCGACCCTTATTGTCGGATAAGGGTCGATTTATAAAAGTTTTATATAAATGGTACCAACATACAAGATAAAATTACAAACTTATCTTAATGAAAATGTGATAAACATGAAGTATTATTATAATTACATAATAGATCTTAACACTACATTTGATATATTTTTATTAGATTTTATCTAGTATTGACAATATATATTTTAATTTTAATGCAGAAATGTCGTAGAGTTGCTTATTTTACTGGGAGACATTTTTTGTTCTATATTTCCAAGTTAAAATGGATATCACTACTGCTTGACATCAGATGCGAGATTGAACCCGGGTCTCTAATGCTTTATATTTAACCGTATTAATGCATATGATTAATGGTAAAAATATACATAAATTGAAATTCTAGGAATTGTGTAGAATATTCTATAAAACATATTAAATTATATATGTAATTATATATAAATTAATCATATTCACATAATTATAAATATTAAAAAATATGGCAAATATAAAAACAAATTTTTGACTTTAAAATAATTACAAAAATAATAAACCGTATTTTGAAAGTGATAAAACTGCCAATATTACATTATTACCAAATCTTAAGAATATGCTTTATTTATTATTTTATGAAATAAATGTAATATATGTATATAAGATAAGATGAACAAAATAGGAAAGAATATGGCTATTATATTGTGAGGCCAAAAAATATGCCACGTCAATATAAAGGTCTAATTCTAAATTAGTATTGGTTATATAAGGTTGCCATAAAGTTGCTTAATAGATTTAAAAAAAATTATATAAATTGTATAAATTTGTATGAATTGAATGTTGGCAAATGTATTTAGTTTAACAATCAATAAACCTCTGCTCAATAATGCTCAACATCAATAAAAAATATCTTAAACTTTATAAAAAATTTGTTCTAAAATCCATATGTTTCGGCTAGAGTCATGATTATCTCTTTGTGGAAGAATGCTATGGCAGAATGTGTTCATAAAAAAGTTTTAAAAATTACAAAATAAGTAGTTAAACGTACTTACAATTTGTTCTAATATGTTTTTAAAAATAAACTAGACAATACATGTTTTTTGTTAACATTTTGCCTCAATTCAGCTCAACATATTTAATTCTAATGTCGAATTGTGTGTGAAATTAATTTTAATGTGGAATTGTGTGATTTTATTGATGCACTTGATTTAACGTTATTATTTAATTTTTTTTATTACTTTATTTAAATGTAGTTGTGCCTTGTTTTTATATCGTTATGAAACTGCCAAAGCTAATGTCGATATTATTATACCGTTTTATCGCCATATCTATTTCGAGATAAATATGGTGTGACTATTTTTTTATTGTTTGCATATAGAGAATGATTCACCTGAACTTCTATGACATTGTACATCTAAATATATCAACATGTATCTCATATACATACATCATTTTATACCGCTAATAAAGTATAATAATATTTTTAATTACACTACACGGGTATGTTATTTTTAGAGTTTGTTTTATTATATAGTCTCGTTAGAGTCTTGTTTTTGTTTTGTGGAATGTTTATCATAAAAAATACATTTTAAAATGTCATTCGGAATATATTTTTATGAGCCTAAATAGTCCAAATTTTAGTAGAGCATTGAAGGAAACGAAACATTTTTACCGGAATTTTCATTTTCATTCCTTAACCACATACTAACATAGAGCTGAATGATGTTACATTGAAAATATCAATACATCTGCAATATGAGATATTAGAACTTAAATTAAAAATAGAGTCAAATCGATAATTCGCCATTAGACGAATTTTATATAGGTATATTTTTATTTTAATAAATTATTATTAGCATGGAACCCTAAGCTGTTGTTTTTTTTAATATCGCGAATAATTTTTAATTATTGCTCTTTATTGACTACTCGTCTCTCATTTATTCATCACTAATTCTTCATTTTTATATCAAAATTATGCTTAATATTTTGTGACTGCATATTTTACATAACTATGCTTCATTTAACTTTTTCTGAATTTTTCTGTGAGCTTATCTTCATTATTTAGCTGATTTTGCTCATCATTCAAGCAGTATTAAAAATTGTCGAAAATGTTAATAAAAAGTTGAAAAACTAACCCTACGATTGAACAGATATTGTCAAAAAATAGGTAACACATTTATATTATAAACTTACAGTAATAAATATGTTATAAATAAATATATGTTGATAAACAATAATTAGAAATTGAACCGGCAACTTGTCTTATCAGTGGACCTTAGTTCTGGTTTAAGTTTTTTTTCCTTAATCTAATTTCTGGCTGGAAGCCAGAAGTTTTCCTAATGATCAATAATAAAGTTTTCCAAGAGCATACTTTTCATGGTCGACAGCGGGCTGATAATGAAAATAATTTAAAAATGATAGATACATAATTTTATTACCTAAATTAGTTTATGATTTTATTAATTGAATAAAAGTAATAGATTACACTTTGCAATTAATCTAATTCAAGTAATCAGGAGCCATTGGCTTTGCTAGCAATAAAAAACCTTTATCTTGTATTCGAAAGTCTGTAATAACTTTGTCAGTTGGTTTGAGATAAGATAACATAAAAACACAAAAGTGTAATAATTGAATATGTCAAAATGGTTTGTTTTGATTTTTGAGATACTTCGTGGCTCTGTGAAAAAGTGCTTTGGCCTTGCACAAGGATCTAGGTTTGATACCCACCTCAGACAGCTTGATGCAAAGCTCTTCCTCTAAATGGTATTAATATCATTAGAAGGAGGAAAACTTTAAAGAATTTCTAAATTAGTTAGTTGAAAATTCTGTCGGCAACATTTGGAATTCAGCAAAGTACCTACCAATATATTTGTTTTCAATGCTATTTGTATATAATTACTTATATTTTTCCAAACAAAGATGGTTTAGGTTGATCTCAACAGCTGATATACAAATCCAGAAACAACTCAATAAAATCAAAATATTTTATTTAAATATTAAAAGTGATTTTCTTTGTTTAAATATCAAAAGTGAAAACTTATTCATAATGGTGCAGATGCCATTAGAAAAAAATTTTTTTCAAAGTTGATTGCAAACCTTATGAGCAATCTAAAAAATGATAAAATTATAAAACTGTTTTTGTTATATTAATTTTTTCTCTATAATTTAATATCTTTGATATTACATTATTAACTTAATTTATATTATGTGGGCATATTATCTGTTTTTCATGAGTATATCAGAGGGTCAATGGCATTGCTTTTGTACATAATAGTCGACAAATAAACTAAAAATGTTTGTAAAGTCGACTTTATCTGTTATACTCCGATAACATTATTCGAAATCAGCGAAAGCTAACTAATTTGCATTCACATTATACAAAAAATTAAAATATTATATTCGAATTCTGAAGGATTTTCCTATTCATTGATAATTGCTCACCTTGGCTTTGCAACTACAAGTTAATAGTTAATTTCCACCTCGGACAGCTTGCTATCAAGCAGTAGTAGTAACCATTGACGACACTTTCAAATGAAATTAGCTTTTTGGAGCTTTGCTATTAAAAATATGACCAGAAATATAAGTAAATAAATATCACAATCAAAATGGAACCTTGGTTCAGAATAGGAACCTTGGTTTTGCAAATACAAGTTTAAAGGTTCAATTAGGTTCAGACAACTTGATATCAAGCAGTAGTAATATCCGTTGACACTTTCAAATGAAATTAGCTTTTTGGAGCTTTGCTGTTAAAAATATGACCAGAAATATATATAAATGAATATCACAATCAAAATGGAACCTTGGTTCAGAATAAGAACATTGGTTCAGAATAAGAACCTTGGTTTTGCAAATACAAGTTTATAGGTTTAATTAGGCTTCAGACAACTTGATATCAAGCAGTAGTAATATCCGTTGACACTTTTAAATGAAATTAGCTTTTTGGGCTTTGCTGTAAAAAATATGACCAGAAATATAATTAAATAAATATCACAACCAAAAAGGAAAAAAACTTAATCACCCAATCAATTCTCTTGGCGTCTGAAAGCCTGAAACAATATTTATTATTAATAAATAAATAATAAATATTGTGGGCTAATGATTTTTGAGACGCTTCTAGGATTTCATTTAATGAATGTGCTAAGTTATTTCTGCTAAGTTATTACTGTAGAGCTATATAGCTATATAAATAATATTGGATCTTTCTTAAAATATTATGTAGACATTAGTATGATAACACAATTGCAGTAATTATTGCACTGTTTATATAATGATAAATTGGCTGATATTTTACCACATTGATTGGTGGAATACTATAAATATTTACTTACTTGTACCTATTTTATTAATCTTTATCTTTTTCAGATCAATGCCCTGAATGATTCGCACCAGCAAATGATGGTCCACTGGGTCGGCGAGTCGAGTGATGTGATAATTTGCTTGTCTCGGGATTCAACGGCGTCCAAAATTCAAGAGAAACTTGGTGGCAATCAGTCAAAATTGGTACCACCTTCTTCGTCGGTTTATATTTCTTATGACTATGGCGACACTTTCGTCAATAAAACTTCAATGTTTGCTTTGGTCAACGGATCGATTGCTTCGATGGACAAATATTACACACATCCTAAGTTCAATGCATATGTGAGTAAAAAAAAATCATATTAGTAATAAAAACTAATAGTAATAATGATATATTAAAATTCTACAATTTATATGACTAAAATTCATGGATAAATTCGATGATATCCAATTTTTGGATACTTTTGGACAAATATTTTTGGAGTATTAATCTGTTTGGTGGATATTCGTTGCCATAAGTTTTCCAGCAACTTATTGGAACTCTTTTGGGAAAATAATAATTTTTCAAGTTCCATACTTTATTTATATGTATTTTTGTATTTTATAACAAAATCTTCATAACATGGAGCCTTTTTAAAATTTTGGGCTAATGCATAAAAATCACATGGATGAGTAATGTAAATTTACATTTCAAGCATAACTTATTTTTATTTAAATATTATGAATTTTTATGGAATATATTTCGTAATATTTTCAAAATATTCTATGAAACTTTTGCTGATATATTAATAATTCCACCTTTCAAAGAATCATTACTACAATACAACAATATTATAATAATAATATTATATTATTCACTATATTATTTTTCTTCAATACAAGTATTATTATATTATTACACTTTGATATGGATTACATCAGAATTTTTGTTTATGAACAAAATTATATAAAAGTAGCATCAACAAAGTATTTTTGAAATTTGCAGAAAATAGCGTTTTTTTAAAAAAAATATTAACTCACATTGTAGAGTAGGTAAGAAGACGAAAAATTGAGTTACTTTATATTAAACATTCTTAAATTTTGATGATGGAAATTTTGTAGGAATTAAAAACTTTCATTATAAAAGTTAGTCATGCAAGCTCAATTTTTTATATAATTTGGGTTGCCTAAAATTTTAAGCTATCACGATTTTGATCTAAAAAAATCTAATTTTATCAGCAATCATCTTCAAATAAGAAACCTAATAAGTGTCCTGAATTTAAAACCTGAATTTTTCATTCAGCAGCTCTATAATACGAATATTTTAAAATTTGTTTCTAAGATAAACTTTCATAATTGATTTATTATTTATTACTGTTTACTATTAGTAATTAATAATAATGTTTTTATTATTATATTTTTGTTACTGCACTTACTTAGTACATAAGTTAAGACCTCTTATCATTATTTATTGTGTTTCGATTTGCAAATTTATTATTGGATTTTCGAAACACAAAAGTCGTAATATTTGCCTTATCTAATCTCTTTATATATGTGATTATTTTTATCAATATGCATGAAAAATTTGGTTTTTATTGTAGACGATTCAATCTATTCGATAGGCATAATCTGTTGCTTTTTAAATAGAATTTAATACATTTAATTCTAGATTAGTCTGGGATAAAGTTTTGTATGAAAACTTGAAGCTTAACAAAAATACTTAAATAATGCATCTCGCTTTTTTCTATTTGTTACATTTCATACACAAATACTCGATAAACTGTAGAAAATGCTTTATTACTCTATTAAACGATTTCTTAAGAAGCTCTTTAGAGAATTTCTTTAACTTGATAAATCTTCAGAAAGTTCTATTATTGTTGCCTGTTGAAAAGTGTGTGAATTTTCTTTAATTTTTTTAATCTATGAATCATATAGAAATTGAGGAGGCATATGCTTCAAAAAATAAGTGACAACAAAGAAGTATTTGTGGTTTCATAATAAAAATTATATAGAACACTATACTACACAATGAAATACTTGAGCACTTCATGTAGTTAAAATCCTTTAGAATGTGTTTTAAAATGTTTCAAACATATTTTTTTATTATTAATAATTATGGAATATGGATTATCCCTGGCCTAGCGGTTAAAACTATGACCTTCCATTCATAAGTTCCAGATTCGACACTTAATTCGGTAGTCTGATGTCAAGCCGTAGAGTTTTTTACTTTATAACATCAGTTTTTACTTGATAATATAGGCAGCAATATGTTTTCAAAAATTTTCTTTCCACTCATTACTCCAATAAAATTAAGCAATATTAAAATTGCTAATTGTGAATTTAGCATTTAAGGTCTTTTTAAGAGTAAGAGCTCAAGACGCCTTTGGTCATATTCTGTTTCTTAATCTATAAATGTTTTTATCTTATAAATAATAAAGCATATTAGTTGGAAATTGAATATGAATATTGAATAATTATGTATTATTAAATTGTAATTCATATCACATTTTTTCGACCCATTTTATCAGTGGTTTGCAACCTTTTTTGCCCCCTGCTCTAATAAAAAAAAGTTGAGCATCCCTTAATTTTTTCAACAATTAAATTCTATAAATACACCAAATTAATATGCAATACTATTTAACAATATGCATAAAAACTAATAATTTTTCTTTTTATTTCTCAATATCATTTCAGAAATTTTGGGCGCGCTCCACAGCTTGGGAACTTCTGCATTAATCTTTTAGTAGTCAAATGTCTCTTGTCCATATTTGCTTATATTTGTTCCCATTATCTGACCATATGATTCAAACATCAGTTAATTCTTTCTCTTAATGGCTTTGCCTTATCGTGCAGATATAATTTGTTTATTTGGATTATTATATATAGGATACAAAGTCCTTTTGCCTTCTTAGAATGATATTGATAAATTCAATAGGCGTTGTGTTTGTTTTTTATGGAGATAAATCTGTGCATAAACTATTGGGTATTTATCAGTTTAGCAATAAATAGTTTAGTAATAATATAACATTAGATAAGAATTTTGGGAACGAATTTTTCTTGGAATTAACTATGTGAAATTTGCCAATGTAATATTACATATTAGATAATTTATATTTAGTTTATGAATAGTATTGAAAATAAATTACTATTGGAGGTAACTAAGAATAAGTGCAACTCATCAGAACAATATACTAATTTAAAAAATTGTAATTAATATTTAGTTTATGAAATAAGTATTGGAAGAGTATTTTTTCGGATTTGGCTATATTCTGTGATGTTATGGTTTTTAGGTAATTCTTTGATGTTGATTCCGAAAAAATCGCAGAACTTTGCTAACAGCTATAGTTTTTGATATAAATACCAATGTGCTAGGTTTACCCCAAGTTACAATAAAAAATAACGCATATTTTATATGATGCTTTCAAAGGTTCTTTTATATAATTTTCATGTCTAAAAAAGGCCTGATTGATTTCGTCGTAAGGGTGCGTCCATTAATCACATGATCGAGTTTTTAAGAATTTTTTGACCCTCTCCAATCCCCTTGGCGATACATGGTGATTTTCAAACTTACCCCCGTCTCCCACCGAACATTACGTGTATTTTTAGTTACGAGATAAAATCGTATTTTTTTTGAAAATATTGGGATTTAGAAAAAATCAGGTAAAAAATAAATAAACAAAAGTGGATGTCTCCAACAATTGTCAGGCATCATGTGGAAGAAAGTCTTATCATCCTTGATATGGCTTTTCCCAAGTCCTGATATCTTGGTGCATTCTTTTTCCTGCTATTTGACAACATCTCCAAGTCTTTCCAAAAACCGTTCTAAATGAGAGTACTGGCAATGAATTCAAATCCATTACATCAAATACATCAGTTTTTTATCTCTGGTCTCGAAATCCATGACAACATGGTAGGCAGAAGATGCTGATGGTTCTAGGTTGTTCACCATTAGCATGGATAGGGGTCGTGGTCGTAAGTAGACCCCATTACCTTTGGGGTATCGTATTTTATGACCATATGTTTCTATTGCCTAAATTTATTCCATTGATATTTACCACACAGAAGTAACAGTCGTCGATTTCATTATAATGAAATCTTTAATTCTGATTCTTTTTATATAGCCTCTTGATAATGTAAAGTTAATTATTATTAATTAATATATACAAATTGTTTATAGTCCAGTCATTTAAGCTGAATTTAGGTAAGAATCTCGGAATTCGAGATACCCAGCTGTAAGTCTGTAAATACTTGTATTTTGCGCCCTAAAAGTTGTCTCAAAATCTATATAGAAGGGTTTACGCAACATATGTAGGATTTGAGACAACTTTTAGGGTGCAAAATACAAGTATTTACAGACTTACAGCTGGGTATCTCAAATTCCGAGATGAACTTACTATAATGACTATTATTAATAATATTAGAACTGTTACACAAATGTAAAATAGAAATAACTTTTATATTTTAAACCTGTAACATTAGAATAGATAACAATAATTATATTTTTGTCACGTATGACAAATGTAACAAACACTCTGTAACGACTTTGGCGTCGGAATTCATTTAGGTTTAATTTACTTAATACAAAATATTCAAGTAAAAATGTAGGTTTATGTGAAATGTACAGTTATACATGTGCATTGTTTGTTCTAACAATTCAGAGTACGTTAGTTACTTTATAAAAACATTAAATATTATGTATGAAAAAATTATTAAGCTATAGATATTTTGTTCGACATTACATATATTTATTACTAGAATCATTATTGCATCATAGCACATTTCCTTATTTATTTCAAAACATTATTATTAAAATTTAATATTCTTTTTAATGAGTTAAACGTATATTTATTAAATTATAATAGTTTTAGATCTACGCATATCTACTACTAGTTCTATGTAATTGATGGTTTGTCATTTTGTTTTTCCCTCACTTTTAGAAATATAATTGTTTAAATTATACTGACAGATTTTTTAAGATACACAATGCAGATGCGTTTTACAATCTGAATTTATGGTTTTTTAATAACTAATATGTGGATCTTTATATACAGTTAATCAATAGTTGGATAGACTTGGTTCTTAATATAAATATTTGCAGAAATGTTTCATCTTGAGAAAATAATTCAGAAAGATCTAAATGTTACAGATTGCAATGAAAAATATAAATGTGAAAATTATAATGAAATAAATATATTATTTTATACTAACAAGCTAAATAACAAGACGTTAAAAAATAAAAAATTATGTGTTTATTCTTGGAATTAATACAATGGTTTGCAACTTTCCAGTAGAACCCCTGTTCTTTTACAAAAAATTGTTGCGTTTTTTTAATTTTTTTCACAATCTAATTTCACAAATACTTAATTGATATTATTCTTCCTATTATTATTCTATTTTAGTCATTTATCAGACTGCTAATTAATACACAATATTAAATATACCTAAAAATAATTATTTTTTTCATATCACTTCAATATTTCTGCTTTATTTTCAAAAATAGTATTTTGGAATCAGCTTACCCCCTTTGCAAGAGCATTTTCTCCACAGATTGGAAATCACCGTATTAATATATCTATATGAAAAATTAAATAGGATTTTGAAATTTTTTGAAAAGTATTATTTTATGCTTGAATCATTGAAAAGTAAATTATAAGGTAATATATTAATTCAATTTTTCGACGATCAACAATGTATTTTATTTATTTGAGTTTATGAAATACTGTAAACTCATAAATTTATATCCTTACTTTCAATTTTTAAATATGTGCCAAAATTAGCAGCTTATTATTGCAGAAAAGCACATTAAGAGTTTAAAAGTAATTTTTAAAAATCTATATTCTAAATTTGATAAATAATTTGTAATGTGAAATGTCTTATTTGTGATATGTTTTATGATATAGTTGAGACATTTTACTTAGAGTATATGTAAATAACGGTCATACACTGCTCATATGTTAATTTGCGAAAAAATGACGACTGTTTACAATATCGATTTATATTTACATTATAGGGATATGTGTTATATGTATATACAAACACTCACATACACAGACATATATATTAAAATATTTTACATTCCGTTCATCAAATTAAACAAAGTTAATATAGAAATAATTCTTTATACGATTCGACACTTGATGTGTTTCGAAATTTTCAAAACTTTTTCGAAATTTGCCAATCTGGAGCATCCTTTTGTCGTATATTATAATCTAGCTTGCTATAATCCTACCTAGATTTGTCAAACCCAGATCTTGATTTAAACTTACTTGTTTAATAATATATTATTCTAAAATGTTAGTTTGATATTAATTTATTTTTTTTTAGTTCGTTTTCCGTGATCTCTACTACAAGGTGTTGTTTGTGACGAGGGACATGGCTGGAACTTTCATCAGGCGGGACATCCCATTTACACCTTCCGATTTGTATTTCCATCCCGAAGACCCGGAAACATTTTTGGTGCACGACGAAGTTGATGAACAGAAAACGGTAAGATTTTATAGATACAATTATAATAGATATAAATGATAAAATTCGATACAATATTTATACAAATGCACTATGTTTTGATAAACGTTTTTCGAAACCAATCAAGATCTTCTTTGCTGTTTGTTTGTCTGTAAAATTGATAATCAATTGCTTATATTACCTGCAGTAAGATTTTATAAAAATGTTTTGAATTTTGTGTATTTTAATCCAGCTTACTGAAAAATATTTATTTTTACAATTTTTATCGAATAAAATCATTAACAAAATTTAATGATATGACTTATAATTAGTTAATGATAATAGGGTACGTTACATATTGTACAGCATTAATAAAAATGTATTTTAAATATTTATCATTAGAATGAGAATATTTATTAAAAATGTTTTTTATATTTTTAGTTGTACATAACGAGAAATTTTGGAGAAACATTTACACCCCTACAGAAGTATGTGAAGTCATTTGCATGGTCTTCAGGTTCTTCATCTGATGCATCAAATTATTCAGGTGGATCCAGGTAATAAGTTTATAAGTTTTTATATTTTGTTTCTAGAACGTAGCATTTCTCAACATTTTTCTGTTTTTTTTTTTTCAGTAATATTTTATATAGAATGTATCATTTTTTCAAACAATTTGCTATGTTTCTCTCAACTATATTTTAACATTTTATTGCAGTAAATATAAATTTCAGAAACTTATTGGCACAAAAATATAAATAATATTTTTATGTTTTAAGATTTTTTATAAATCAAATAATATCAACTTTGTCAACAGCATAAGTCTCTTAATTTTGTTGCTTTCTTATGTGTCAAAATTTTATTTTGGATATTGTTTCGTTATCATAATTATATTGTAAATATTTGAATACAAAAACGAGTATCTTTCAAATACTTCACATACCATTTTATGATGTTAATTCTGAACCATTTATGAAATATTTTAATCACATTGCTGAAACTATACTTTACTGCTAAATTTAGTATTTACATATTTATTTTTCTATATGGAAAAAGGTTAGACCTACTAATATAGTGCTTACTCTTAAAGTTCTTAGCAGTATAACTATTCTAAAATATACGGTCACTAAACAATTAACTCAAATATTCAAAAACTTAAATTTTTTACGATAACACAAAGAAGTAAGCATACATTTTCAGTGTTCATTTTTATAATTTCAGAATGACTTCTCCTTTGCCTTTGCTATTATATATTGAAAGAGCAGAACCAACGGACACAAGTACTGTTCTTACTGTGACCGCATTATCCCAGACAAATGTGTTGATTGGCAATGTCCAAGATTTCTTAGTTAGAGGAGACTTTATGTTCGCCACCAGGAAAAACAACAAGGTACAATATTTAATAAAACTATCATTTCAAACCAATGTTTGGAACTTAAACATAATACTATTTTTTTCCAGAACAATCTAGAACTACTGATTTCATATCGAAGAGCCCCTTTTGTAGTAGCTCATTTTTCATCAGAATTGAGCTTTCTAGCCATCCATGTGGCTGATGTGACAGATAGAAGACTGATGGTAGTGGGTGTTCATGGTGACACTGTAGCTCATCTCTATGTTTCTGAGAGCAATGAAGATTTCTCTAGAATTAATTTTGTTTTAAGCTTAGAAGGCATTTTGTGCCATGTTCCAAATAGTACGTGGACTGACACCTGGCTGAGGTAAGATAATTAAACAAATATACAAATTTCTTTATAAGAACAACATATTATAGTATAAAGTTTGTTTTTTTACAAAAAATATTAGTCTATATGTGTATGTATATTGCTATAACACATGTCATAGGTGGATATGAAGAATTTTTTTTACAAAAAATATTATTCTATATGTGTATGTATATAGATATAACACAATTCATTGATATGAAGACATTAAAGTCTTGCTAAAATTTTTCTTGTTGTCCATTTAGGATACATATAAAAAACTTTAATATTGATCAATCATATACTGTTTTTTACAATTAAGATATATGTACTTATATCATCATTAATAAGTAATATAATTTTAATTTATGTCTTATTTTCCAGTGATATTGCAGAAGAATCATTTGCTGACTTATACCGTGTTGAGGGTCTTCTTGGAGTCTATATTGCGTCCCGCGTTCTTTCTACTTCTACATTCAATAACAATGCCACCAGTAGAGGCAGAACTCAACCAGTTATATCACCAGAACATTTATCCAGTGTGATACCTTCGATCATGGTGCCACTTGGCGACCGATTTCTCCACCGCGACGAGATGACGATGGACATCCAATCAAATGCGACACCAACCTGGGATGCTCATTGCATTTGACTCAGAAATTCAGTCAGTTGTATCCTGTTACTAGATCGGTAATAAAGAAATCAAATTACAATATATATGTATGATTTTATTTCAAGGGTTTTCTGTAGATTACTTTTTTTTTATAGAGTGCACTAACTTGCTTCTATTTTTATTTTATCTATTGCAGGTTACAATACTCAGTTCCAAGTCCGCACCCGGCATCATTCTCGCCGCTGGTGTTATCGGACGCTCTTTAAAAGGTCATCCTGGTGTATTTTTAAGTCGAGATGGCGGCCTTACATGGAAGCAAATTCTAAAAGACTATTATTTCTTCAATTTCGGTGACCACGGTGGCGTTTTAGTCGCCGTGAAGTATTTTAAGACGAGAGGCGAAACGAAACGTCTTTTATATTCTACTGATGAAGGTGATACTTGGAAGAGTGTCGATTTCCATTCAAAGGATTTGAGAATTTACGGTTTGATGACGGAACCAGGGGAGAATACTACTGTTTTCACTATGTTTGGTTCAAGCCCTGGTCTACATCAATGGCAAATTATAAAGGTAATAAAATTTTAGAAAAAAATACCTTGATCATATTTAATAATATAAAACGTTTATTAAGAAATTGACATTACATATTTCAATATTATCTCTTTCTTCTTAGGTTGATTTGGCAGCCGCTTTCGACCGTATGTGCACGCCGGAAGATTACAAATTTTGGGCCCCAGGAGGCCTTTCTGGTGTTTCAGAAATGGCATGTTCTATGGGATCCAAAGATACTTATCAACGGAGGATTCCAAGGGCTAATTGCTATAATGGCAAAGATTACTCTAGACCAGTTAATAAAGAAGTTTGCGAATGCGGAGCTCACGATTTTGAATGTTCTCCAGGTACTAATATACATTACTAGAGTAATTTTTTTCTTGCATATCTATTAATTGCTAAAATTATGTTTCAGGCTTTACTCGTAGTAGCCAACCGTTTCACTGCATAAAAAAACCTGAACTATCAGAGGATCCATTTGCTGTTCCCGCCACTTGCAGACCTGGACAATTTTATAAAAGGACTAAAGGTAAGAAACTAAAAAAAAATTATTAATTAGCACTCATAATAAATTAGAAATCTCACAGT